GTGAAGTTTAGCTCCATATAGACATGGTAGCCAAACAACAAATCATACAAAGAAACATAAAAATTACTAAGTTTGGTGGGAGAAAGATGGAACTTGATGAATTCCGGCCTCCACAGCTTTGTCGTGGCTTTTCCCCCCTTCCCAATATGTTAGATGTCCTAAAAGAGACGTTTTTGGCTTATATATTGCGTACAAAAGTCGTGGGCCAAAGTTCTCCTATTCCTAATCAAAATCAGCTTCAGGGATTGATGCTGGGGTGGATGCGTCGCATTCACCTCGTCCTCCACTTTCCAGCTTTGCATGCTAGGGTGGATGCGTCGCATCCACCTCATCCTCCACTTCCCAGCTTGCATGCTAGGGTGGATGCGTCGCATCCACCCTTTGTTCCTCCATCTCAGCTTTTTCCAGATGCGGATGCTATGGCGGATGTATGGGCCGACTTCACTGCTAAGGGTACACGAAATCTGATTTTTTTCTAGATTGGATGTGACGCATCCAATCTCTCTTCCTCTACCTAGAGCACATTTTCTTCATATTTTTGCACTCCAAACACTCTAATTCACCACTCACAACTCAATTAGTCATAAAACTGATAATTAAACCATGTTGGGCATTTTAAAAATCAAATAACATCAAAAAGCGGTTAAAACATGGGTAAAGTAACATCAACACATATCGAAATATGCCCAACACCACTCATGTAAGAACTGGAGAAGGCTAAACATACAGTATACAGTATGCTTTGCTTATCAATAAATAAATAAGTAAGATATAAGTAATTAAAATGGCTAGTTAGCAACATTATGACAACGTTCGAATTAGAATTGGTCAATACTTTTTATGTTCACATTGAGTTCGCATTAGGGACTTGATATCCATTATCTTTCCAAACAAATAGTGCTCCTTTTTTGAAGACAAAAAACAGCAATAACAACAACAATCCAGTATAATCTCATTAGGGGAGTCTAGGGAGGGTAGTGTGTACGCAGACCTTACCCCTACCCTGGGGCAGAGAGGTTGTTTCCGATAGACACTCGGCTCCCTCCCTCCAAGAACTCCCCACCTTGCTAACTTACAACCTCTTGGTTGGAAGTGGAGGGTGCTCACCACTATATCAACCCAAGAAGAAAAAAAAAGAGTAATATTCCAATAGTGCCTATCCTAGAAGCAGAAATCTTCATTTTCTTTTAAGTCCAAGAGAAATAGATACAGAGTCATGTATGATCTAAATGTTTTTTTGGCCTTGAGCCTCTTGGCCCTTATCTTATCTATTCAAGTTAATATGGCCATGATCCAAAGAAGTAGCCCAAATTACTTGCAGTCAATGCTTATGTCCAAACTTTGATCTCAATAATAGGCGTTAGCCAATGCATCAACCATCAAGTGTACAATCTATAAGAAGTAACGAAGCATTCAGTTTTTAGTTTCTACTTTCTAGTGATAATAACACAGTAATTTGTACTCAGAACGAGTCACTGATAATTGACCAAACATTATATAAGGTACATTCAAATTTATAAGCAATCAAAGACATACCTACAACTTTTATTCGAAAACTTCATAATTAAAATCTACAAAACTAATTGCTTAAGAAATAAACGAACTTATTGTGCAATACAATGGATTGATATATTTTACTAGAGAAATTTAATTTTAAGTATTGATCCATATGAGTTCACTTAAAATAAGATGAAAATAGAATTTTGGTATAACATGTATTCCTGCAGCATTAAGCGAATCAAACAAATGTTGAACTTCTTGTCCCAAATCAGTGGCGAATCCAAAATTTTCAAAAATCAAATTATAAAAAAGTAAACACAAAATCAAGAGAATTCAACGTATATAATTTGTTCTATACAATATAATTTCTAGCAAAAAGGTGTCAACTGACACCATTTGGACAAGAACAGTTCCGCCGTTGTCCAAAACCGTAGACCCCTAAATAAATAAAAAGAAAACACGAAAAAGGGGCTTCTTACTGGGGCAGCACGTATAGTAAATAAGACATGAAACATGGGAGGAGGGAAAGGATACATTAAAGGCATGGAAGAAAATTAAAGAAGCAGAACGTTACTGAAAACTTCATTTATTCCAAAAGTTCAGACCTTCACGTTTTAGCAGAGACCTTCTTTAATGGACTCCCCTTTTGCTTTGCATTTGCTAAATGCTCTCTTCTCTTTCCTCATGTCCCAATTACTCTCAAATTTCTGTCCACTTTAACTTCAATTCATGTGTCTTCTAGCAAATTACTTAAAATGTATAAATAAACATTTTAACTTATATGCGTACATTGACAATTTACAATTTTTTTTATTATCCGTGTAATTTAATATGTTGTAAAGTTAACTATTGCCTTAATTTCAAGTTGCTAATCTCATCAATTATGGATAGTTATTTTTAGGTGACAATAATAGTTCAAATTGTTTTTTCACTGTCAATACATATTAATTAAAAGCAAAATATTAACAAGTTCAACATTTGAATTTAAAAGTCTTTTAAGAAGGACAAGAAAAAGACCAATTAGTGGGTATATAGTACTAATAATAAATCGAGCTAGTTCTTCTCAAATACACGTGAAACAAAGGTAAAAAGTTATGGAGTTGGGTCGGCAGGGTTGCAAGGTGTCAGGGCCACCATACTTATCTATGGGGTTACATTTTTCTCTAGTAGGAATAATCTATGAAAGCCAAACGAACTAACTAGTAAATTTTTATGAGATTTAACTTATATACATAAAAAATGGTATTCTTTATACATAACTGTATTTTAACCTATAGTAACAAATTTTTATAGTAACTTTTTTTTAGACGATTTTATGACGTAACAATATTTTTATGTTAGGTATAAAACTTAAAGCCAGATGGGGAGCTTTGAAGTAATGGTAAAATTGTCTTCACGTGATTTATAGGTTATCGGTTCGAGTCATGGAAACAGACACTAATACATGTAATTAGATTAGGCTATCCATCACACTTCTTGGGGTGCGACCCTTCTCCAATCCTGCATAAACGCAAGATATCTTGTGAAGTCTTTTTGTGGGGGGAGGATAACAAATTTGGATTTGTATATGTATATATCTGTGGGGATTAATTAGTTTGGAAGAACTCAACAAAACCTGTGAATCCTTCAAAAAGTGGCCGTGTATCATGTGAAGTTCATCAGGTGTACATCCTACATTAAAATCACCTCTTCACTCTTCATTTCAAATTTCAATATAATCTTCCCTTATTATAAATATTTGACAAGTTGGTCCCAAATTTTCTGCTTCATTATTATCTTTCGCACTTCTTCCACTTTTTTCAGTTATATTTCTTTGCAGCCGTTTAGCCAACACATTTCATACAAATTTTCAAGTATTCTAAGTTGGTTGGTCCTGTAAAAGAAGACAACACGTAAACAACAGAAATTCGAAGATATGGTGACTACCACTTCTTCAATTGGATTTCTGACTCTTTCAATAGTTACTCTTGTTCTAATGCTAGTCGGCTCTACCCAAAGCCTACGGCCATATCATTGTAAGTGCCCACTATCTTTAATTTGTCCTCTGATATATATCTTCGTAGTTTATGTTATATACTCTCTCTGTTCCAGTTTATGTTCACTTATTTCCTTTTTGATCCGTTTAAAAAAGAATGACCCATTTCTAAATTTGGCAACAATTTATCTTAAACTTATAATTTTATCTTTAATGATAAGCTTTTATAACCACACAAATACTCTGAGTTCCTTTTTGACTTGTTTAGGATCATAAATTTCAAAAATCTTCATTTTNATATATATATATATATACTGAATGAAATTTGTTTTATACCATTATAAATAATACTCCAATATTTAATTGTTAACCGCTATTTATTATTTTATTTTTCGAGTTACCATATAAGACTTGATATATACGTGCATTTATATGTTGTTATAAGTCAAATTAACATATGATAACGTAATTTTTTTTTATACAGTCACTACACAAAACCGAGTTAAAATGAAAAATAAGGGGGGAGGGGAGAGAGGAGCTAGCTAGCTAACAATACGTCTTCCACTTTAATGCTTTCGACGCACATATTATTTTATTTACTTTGTTATTATTATTACGGAAAAGAGTCAAAAATGCCCTTAACGTATTAGAAAATGGCTCAAAAATGCCTTCCTTTTACCTATTGGTTCAAATTTGCCCCTAATATTATTTTTAGGCTTAAAAATGCCCCTCTCTTAACGAAAAAATGACATGGCATTGATGGACACTTTAATTAAACGTGTAATATTTATTTAGTCTGGAAAAAAGTGAATATTTTTTTACTAAAAACTGAAAAAAAACGAAATTTTTTTCTTCAATTTTTACAAAAAAACTGCTTTAAAAAAGCTGAAAAATATTTTCTAAAACAATATTTTTGTAAAAACTGGAAAAAAAAAACTGAAAAGCAATTTTCTAAAGCAATATTTTTGTTAAAGCAGAAAAAAATATTTCCTCTTCTTCTTCCTTCCTTGTTTGTCTATATGCTTTCTGAGTTCATTTTTTATATATTTTAGTTCTTCTAATATTTTGATATACTAACTCATTAGAAGAATTAAAATATATATAAAAAGAAAAAATTGAACTCGGAAAGCATATGGACAAACAAGTAAGGAAGAAGAGGAAATATTTTTTTCAGCTTTTACAAAAACATTGTTTTAGAAAATTACTTTTCAGTTTTTTTTCAGTTTTTACAAAAATATTGTTTTAGAAAATATTTTTCAGCTTTTTTTAAAGTAGTTTTTTTGTAAAAACTGGAAAAAAAATATTTTTATTTTTTTCAGTTTTTAGTAAAAAAAAAAATACTTTTTTCCAGACTAAATAAATGCTACATGTTTAATTAAAATGCCCACCAATGCCATGTCATCTTTCCGTTAAGAGAGGAGCATTTTTAAGTCTAAAAATAATATTAAGGACAAATTTAAACTCATAGGGGAAATAAGGATATTTTTTTAGTCATTTCTAATACGTGCGTTTTTTGCCCTTTTCCGTTATTATTATTATTATATATAAGTGAACAAGGGGTGTAGGAAAACAACGGTCCTGAATTATACAATGTGTTGAATTATTAGCGAACTGACACGTGTACCACACTTTTACTTTACCAAACCACATGTACTTCACTATTTCAAATACACTATAACTTTGATTATCAATCTCTTCACTCCAATTCTTTCTCCTTTAGATGCTCTCTGCAATTTTCTTTTATATTGCTGGAAGTTGAATTATAAGATAAAATATTCAACGGACTCTCTTTATTTTGATTGACAAGCTCCAAGTCTTTCTATAATATATATATATTTCATAGGCAACACTATAATATATACTTTCGCGAAAACATACACATACATATTGTTCTTCCTCCATTGAATTAGCAATTGATATTTTTGCCTCTCAATTGATACATAACGATGTTAAAATTAAACTAGTACACCTAGATGCTAGGCATATTATTAATGAACGTTGTCTGCTCATACAATTTCAGTTACCTACCAAGGGAAAGGAACAAAGATGGACAAGCAAAACCATATTGTCCACCTTAAGGTAATTTAATTTGTATCCTAGCAACCATTTGACATCTTAGCCTTGTCTCCTCTTTATAAAATGCTGAAAAGAAGTTCTGAATTGCAGGAAGAAAGAAAAAGGGATCAGTTAGGAATGGCTTTGTATCCAACAGGATCAAGCCTACCAGATTGTTCCCATGCTTGTGGACCTTGTTTTCCTTGTAAGAGAGTTATGGTGAGCTTCGAATGCTCCATTGCTGAGTCTTGCCCCATTGTTTACAGGTGTATGTGTAGAGGAAAATACTACCATGTCCCTTCCAATTGATCCATCTCGTACCCGAAAACGGCTTAGGAAAAGTTATCACTGAAAATTCCATTTTTTCATGTAGTGTAATGTTTATTATCGAGTAGTATTATGCCTTTTGGGTTATGCATGGTTTCGTTCTTGAGAATAGAGAGGTCAATAGTTGTAGTAGAGGTTTTTCTTTTTTGGTTGTAGCAGAAAGAATTAAGATTTTGTTTGTGGTAATTGTGTAAATAGGAGGAGTTAGTGATGTTGTAAGAGTTTTGTAGGTGTAGTAAGTGAAGTAAGAACGTTCTCTTCTTGCTTTTTGGCAAGACTTTTATTGCTAGATATTATGTCTATGATTTGTCCTGAACTGCTTGAATGTCTCTTGAGAACATTAACTTTCCCAGCAAAATCCCATGTCAATTCGACAACTTTAAAATTTAAACTACTAACATATGGAAAAATCTTAGTTTGTCTAACTGATTATATAATTAGCTGATGAGAATTGTTAGCCAAAAATAACCATTTCTTGAACGAAGATAAATATCTAAAAGATGGGAAGTAGCGTTAAGATAAATTTAGTTTGTCTAACTTGGCATCTGCGGATCCGTGGCGCAATGGTAGCGCGTCTGACTCCAGATCAGAAGGTTGCGTGTTCGATTCACGTCGGGTTCAATCCCCCGATCCAAGGTCCTTCTTTTTACATAATTTTTCCTACTGTATATAATCATCTAATACAGTTAAATGCCTTTTTTGTTTTGTTGGCAAATGCTAAAATGATACAAGTTCGCTCCTGTTATAATATTGTTATAACAACTCAAATAGAAAAAACTTTTCGCCTGATCTCAGAAGGGGGAAAAAAAATGAACGGACGGCAAATAATCCGTCGATGTTTTCTAGATTTTTTGGTGTTAAACTCCCAAAGTGCAGATCAAAACCATTGATATCTTTGATAAATCCGTATAAAACATATTGCTTAAGCTTTCTAATTATCATATTTTTGACAGATGTATGATTGAACATTATTTTAACTAGTATTATTTTCACACTTTTCTTTAAACTAACAAAAGGTATATTGCCGGCAAAAGCTTACCAAACGGTTGCCGGAAACTGGCTGCCATTAATTATTTGGAAATTAGAAATAAAAAACGAATATTTATAATTACATTTGTATTTGCTGCCGAATTCTCCAAATTCAGAAATTCTTCTCAACTAACTTCCGGAAAGGTAAAACCCCAGTTCCCGGTCCAAATTTTTTGGGGTATGAATATTGGGTTTACTGAGCTGAGTTTCTGCACCAGTTGATTTTTTTTTGCACTGCCTTGCTTCTGCTGTCTTTTGAAATCTCTGTCTTCGAATACAAGAAAGGGAGCGGTAAAGTTGTCTCAACGTAAGGGTTTGGGGTTCGAGCCGTGAATTCACCCACTAATGCTTGCACTAGGGTAGGTTCTTACGTCACACCCCTTGGTGCGGCCCTTCCCGGACCCTGCGTGAATACAGGATGTTTCGTGCACCGGCCTGTTCTTTTTTTCTTTTTTTTTTCACTACCTATCCATTCTTTTTATTTTTATTGCTTCTTAGCGATTTGGGAATATCAAAGATTTTGGGTATTCAGATTATGCAAGTGTTGCAGAAAATTTCCAAATTTAATGTCTTTCTTGATCAGGTCAAGGTGCATCACATTCCTTGATATTCTTAAATTGCTTTTATGTAGTCTTCACCCATAATTTTTTCGTCATTTGGAAATTTTGATGTGTGATTGATAGCAGTGACGAGGGGATTCAAAAAAAATTGAACTTGTGACCTATATCAATTTTTGTACTACCGTTGCCACTACAAGAGATTCAAAAGTTAATATATATACGAAAAAATTGTTTTTACCCTATTTGCACAGCACAATTTTCCAACAAAAACGATTAACCTCTTCCTTGGTTGTGGCACCGCCTCTGATTGATAGGAATAGATAAATTTTTTAGGGAAAAGACTATTAAGGAGTGAACTTGTTAGGCATGCTCTATGTATATGTTGTGCGGCAACGATTCTCTATTTTTATTCAGCATTTCAGCTTTTTACTGGATTTTTTGAAAAATGGAAAATATTGTTATAATCTCAATTTTGAGGAAAGATATCAAAGTGTTGTTAAAGCTCAATCCTTTGATCTAAAGCCTTAGTCTAATTGAAGTTTGACGTGCAGCATGTGTATTTCATTGCCCGTTATCGAGTGATTGCATCGTGTCAATGAAATACTATTCCATTGCTTCCTTTACCAATTAATTGAATACAGATATGGATCTTAAGGGTCAGCTTTATCTTGGATTGGGATATTGTCTGTGACTGATCTTATCAGCTAATCGAATGATTAAATAAACCATCTTGTCAGGTTTTCACATGGATGCAGTCGATGATGCCGATCAGTTACCAGAAACAGCAAAAAATGATGTAACATCCTTCTTTGAGTCAGCTCCACCGCTGAAGGATGCTGCTGAAACGGAAAAAAGTTTGAAGGAGTTTGTTGATCGCAATGCTTCATTATCAGGCAATTATTATCTCTTTAAATATCAACATCTCATAGTGTTTAGCCTTTTAATTCTCTTATCTTCAAATATAGATGCGATTAGACTTTATTTTGTGTATCCATGTTCAGTGAATGGAAAAGCAAACAGGGTGGTGTGCGTGACTTCTGGTGGTACAACTGTTCCTTTGGAAAAGCGATGTGTTCGTTATATTGACAACTTTGCTTCTGGTCATAGAGGGGCCGCATCCACAGAGTATATTACGAATATCATGCTTAGATGCTTTGTTTGCATTTAATTTCTACATACATTTGACATTCAAAAATGACAATGGAATTGCAGATACTTTTTGATGGCAGGTTATTCTGTAATCTTTCTCTACCGAAGGTTTGTAATCAATTGCCACGTTAATTTATCTGATTATCGAGATAAGCTGATTTTAGAGTAGTAACACTATGAGATATGCAGGGGGACCTGCCAACCATTTTGTAGTTTGCTGCCCGATGATCCGTTGCTAGAGTGTCTTAGTGTAGCTGATGATTCAACTATTGAAGGTGTGTAGCTTTATATTTTCACGCCCAATATTGATGCTCATGGTACATTCGTATCAACCAGCTTCATACTTCTGTCTCTTTACAGCATGTTCACTAGGAATTCCACATAAACTTCGTAGGTCCACATAAATAATAGTCAAATGCTCAACACTTCACAATATAGAGGTGCGGATGAATCATAATGAAATAGATGGAGGGAATAATAAGGTAAAGAAAGTCACAAGTCAGTTCAACTAAGCTTCAATCCAAACTAATTGGGGTCGGCTATATGAATCCTCTATATCTGCTCCACTTTATTCCTACCTCCCATTCCAAATTTATAAAAAGAATTCTTTTTAGCGCAATTAGGATTCACTAAAAGTAGAGATTCTCTAAATCGTCTTTAACTATACTAAAATGACTTGCTGCTCTCTTAATGCAACTTGTCATTCTTCTATTAGGTATCTGTTAGCTTATGAGAATCATAAGGCAAAGGAAAAGAGAAGAGAAGGAAATCCCCTGTTGCGAATATGCCATGTCCCCTTTTTTATATATTTTTCTTCTGGTTTAGTTTGCAAATCTTATTATTGATTGGCTTGTTCTTCCTTTTCCTATTTCTTAATACTGTTTTTATCCCAGTGCTGGTTAAGTTTACTGGGAGAAATCTTTACCACCAGTGTTCATTTTGAATCTCAGTTGATTTTGTTGACCAATCTACACTTCTTAATGTAATGACCATTTTTCGGTTGCACTGTTTTATAGCGGATCCATTGCATGCTGAAACAGTGAAGAGAGCCATTACTGAAACTCGTGCAGTATGAATTTTTACTTACTGATCATTTTCTTTCTATTTGTTTATTCTAAATATTCTCTTTATTCTATTTGAACAGACACTGTAAGAATTTAATAATTGCAGGCAGTTGCTGATGGCATCCTGTTGAAACTTCCATTTACGACAATATTTGAGTATTTGCAGGTTAGTTTTAATAGATCAGTGAAATCTGCTTCACTTTAAAATCAATGTGAATTGTCGAAACTTCAACTTCAAATAAGCTTCATATGAACTTCTTTAGCATGCTTTGCGGAGGCCAGTAGCACTTTTAATAATATTATTTTTGTTACTGGCAGATTCTTCAGCTAATTTCTGCGTCTTTGAGGGGCCTTGGGCCTAGTGCTATTTTCTATCTTGCAGCTGCTGTTTCTGATTTTTATGTTCCGTGGGAAAGCATGGTAACCATTTATGTTCTTGAATATATCTTCTCCTATTTTGCATTTGCTTTTGCTGTATTTGCGTTNCCTCGACTAATTTACTATTTAGGAGCCCTTGAAATTTTCTCACCTCTTACCCGTGGAAAGTTTCATATTGATCAAAATTACTATATTGAACTCTATCTCTCTCTCTCTATATATATATATATATTGCAAATGGTAGTTATAAGACATGTCTGAATCGACTTATAAAAGAGAAAATGGTACTAGATCTGTTTCCTCTAAATGTGCTGCTATCTTTTTACATATTAGCTCTTTTTCAGACTTTACATAAGATCCAGTCAGCATCTGGCCCTCTGGACATGCGACTCGCCCAAGTACCAAAGATGCTTTCAGTGCTTAGGAATGAGTGGGCACCTATGGCATTCTACATATCTTTCAAGGTTGGTGATCATCTTGTATGGTTTGGTAAAATTATGAACTTTAACAATGCTGCACTTTTTCTTTTGAAAAGAAAAGAAAACAATTCTACTTGTGAAGAAGTGGTGACGACAGGAATCCTTTAAATTTTTAACATCTTTTGTATGTGAGTGTGTTTATGTATGGTGTACGTGTGCGTATGCCTATGTTGTGTTGTATATGATTACGTATTTAGCTATTTAAATTCACTTGTCAAGATGAACTGAAAAGACACCTGAAATGATCCACTTCATGGAACTTCCAAGATCAAAGTCAAGTTCCTTTTATCTTAGTTTTGCAACTCCAGAAATCTGCTTATGAGCTGTTTTTACATGTTTGACTCACTTGAGAGTTTAATATTTTAGATCTTTCACAAGTTACAACACTCGTTAAAGAATTAATATTTCAGTATAATGTAAACCCTTTTCTGTCAAACCAGCTGTACTTGTGGAGTCTAACATTTAAAAAATTTGTACCTTTATACAATGTAAAATGTAGAGTTAGTTCAGAGTACCTCCTAAATGTGTTTCGAGTCTATTTGTGTCACACAAGTGAATGGAAAAAGCAAGGTTTTTGGTATCAGGTTCTGCAATATTGGGTCTTTGTTGGGTTTGGATTGGATTAGTCTTGTTTGGGGTGGGGTTTTTTTCTTTTGGGGGGGTGGGGCGGTGGGAGGGTGAACATGATTTGCTCACATCTATATAGAATGTTGTAAAGTTGCTAGCCTAATCTTGCTTTGAAACTGTTTATGCTTAAAAGTTTTAAGACCTACCCCGGAAGATACCGGATTTAAACTCTATGCGTTCAACTTTTAAAATTTTTTGCTTTGAACCCATTATATTTTTAAAGTTATGGGTTCATATAAACTATTTGTTGCAATTTTAGTGAACTTTTACGCATAAACTTATGCTCCGCACCGAAAGTCTGATGAACCTGGTACCAAAGTGCTGGACCCCATTGAGTTAGTAAATATTTGAACATTTGTTTGGAAAAATATGAGGTTAATCAATTTACAGAAATATGATGTCAGAAGTTCGTTTATTTGTCCTTGAGGCACCTAGTATGCTTGTCATTCTAGACAGTTTTTGTCATCTAATCCATTTGTTGTTTTAATTTTGTTAGGAAGTTGTTCATATCATTTCGTTACTAATTTTGACATCTACTATTTGGCAGCTAGAAACAGATAAAGATATCCTTTTAGCAAAGGCTGATATGGCCCTCAAAAAATACAAGATGCATATGGTGATAGCAAACGAACTTTCAACCCGTAAAGAGGAAGTTATAGTTGTGACAGAGCAGGAAAAGGTCACAGTTCGCAGGGACAGCACTCAGGCTGGGGCTGAGGTTGAGTGTCCATTGGTCGAGCTTGTTGTTGATAGACATTCAGCATATATCAAGAAGGTTGATCCATGACCACTGTATGTAGCCGGATCAATGGCTATTTATCAATTAAATATCGAGTTACAAGGATATTTCAGAAAGCTGACATAGTGTAACTTTAAAAAAATGCACTCTGCCTCTCCTGAAAAAGAGAGTCCTGTTTAGTTTGTCTTATCTTTGATCGGAAATCTGGTTTTTATTTCTCTTTCTTATGGTTTGAATAAATTCATGAAAGTAAATGCAGCTATGCACAACATATGTAATTTATTCTAGCTGTCATGTGGTTTCTGTTATTATTGATGCCAGCACTTCAATATTTTTATTTTTTTGGGATAATTTGCAAAAGTCTATAGTATATGTAGTGTCTATCTCTAGTTCTATGTATACGGTATACCCCAAGACTTTGGGACGAGTCTTCCAATTTGAGCTCAATTTCTTGTAATCAACTATGCAGTGGCGGAGCCATAATTTTCGTTAAGGGGTGTCAAAATATATAAAAGTAAACATACCAGAAAATTAAGGAGAGTCAATACATAGTATATATACATATGATTTATTTTTTTACCTAACTACATAGTATATTTTTCTCGCAAAACCCCTTTCCTATAAGGTGGCTCCGCCACTTCAACTATGCCCTAGATTGGTTTGCACCAATTTACACAATGTAATTGAGGCTAAGGTTTATGTCCTCTGTGTAATTATTAATTTTGTATATACAGGTTGGAGTTGGCCATAACTCCTCCATCGCTATGATGCACCATTGATTAGAAAGAAAGATTCGATTGAATCTTCATTGTTTGCTTTGCTACTTAGTGTCGAATTCTAGTGAGCTGCAAAATTTAGAAGAAAGAGCAACAAATCCACACTAGATGTGAAACAAACATGTATGTGAGCACAAACATAGACAACTATGACGATTACCGAATTTACATGCGGCAAATCATCGATCAGTACAACACAATACTAATTTAACTTTGAAATGATGTGTTTTGAAACACACTAACAAATAATTTATTGATAGGCCAAAGCTAGGGGAAAAGGGACGAAAGAGTCAATATTTCATAAGATCGATCAGGGGCGGATCTAGCGTATACTATGCGGGTTCAATTGAACTCATAACTTTTAATATGGAGTAAAGATTTATATGTAAAAATCCATTAAAATTGCAAAAATTAGTAGAGATGAACCCATAACTTTAAAATATAATTGGTTCAATGCTAAAAAATTTAAAAGTTGAACCCACAGGATTTAAATCATATATCTGCCTCTGAGATTGATAGCTGCTAATGCCTCTATTGTTGTTATAAAATAATTCTGAGGTTGATATGATTTTGTTACTGAAACTGAAAACATAACCCTTTCGTCAATAATTCAGTAGATTTGGTACCTATGAAAAGCTAAAATTGTCCTTAGACGTCTTTTTTTATTTTATTAAATAAAAAGGAGGTTTAGGTAAGTGATGCTCATGTCTTCAACATGCCATAATCTCACTTTTGAAATCATTTGAAATGTTTATTGTTTTCCTTTACTGTTATGACGTTTTTATGCAACTTACCCAACATTTTATGCCTCTTCTTTATGTTTTGTGACTTGTGGCTTCCCAATCAATCTTTCTATCCTTACTTGTGGACAAAATATAATCAACAAAAACGGTCTGATATGTTCCTCTACTATTAAAAATTATTTAAAATTATCTCTCGTTATATTATTAGATCAGAAAATTCTCTATCGTCTTATTATCCATGGACTGGACACGTGGCATTCATCCAAGGCTTTTGGTCCATCCGATCTTCGATTAGATCCGACGTAGCCCACTATCGGTTACCCGCCTCCATGAAATTAAAAAAAAATAAGAAAATAATAAAAAATCATGAAAATAAAAGGAAAATAGAAAGGAAAAAAAAAGGGGATTGGTGCGCTCCAATTCTTCATCGGCAATCACCGTCGTCCCACCACTTCACTTTTCCAACTACAAACATCATCTCAGCAAATAACAAATCTCACTATTTTCATTTCAAACTCTTCAAATCATATTCTTCTCCTTGAATATTCAGCTCATTTGGGCCACGGGAAGGCCTTAAAATATAGCAGAACACTTTAGTCGGATAAATTTTTTTTCTCTTAAAATGACTTAAATTATCTTAGAACTGTTTACACTTATAAGGGCGTAATTTCTTCAACATTTTTGATTCCAGATCGATTCAAACACAAAATATTCTATTTATCATGTTATTTTAAATATAATTTTAAGATATTTTAAAATAATTTTTATGATAAATATAATTTATTTTATGATAAACATAACCATTTTAACAGGATCAAGTGGCGGGCGGTAATCCGCCATGCCTTCTCAATTAAATTAAAACAGAAATCACCGTTTGACCGGGAACTGGACTTGTTTCACACCTCACATCTGGCTTTTATATGCCTGGAAGGTTTTCACCAGTTAAAGATTTCTATTTTAACATATAAGAGAATTCTTAATCTAGCTAATTCAGTACCCTTATATTTAAAGACTGGCGGTAATCCGCACAATCAGTAAGGATAAGAATTGAAATATACTTGAATTTTATATATAGTTTAATGACTGTATGGAAGGTTAAAAACCTTTACTCAAGCAAGGGGTCTGTCATAATATAATACATACTTTTATTGAGCCCATGTGTCTAGCAGTTCTAACCGTGAAAGAAGATGCCCTTTTAA